TTTTTTTTTTTCCCCCAAGTTGTACCTTATTTCTGTTGGATATTAGAAACTGTGTAATTCATACACGGTCAATTTGCTGCTATACATATCCAGTCCTAAGTTAGGTAAAAGGAGTTAACTTCAGCGAGTTACAAGTTAACATATGTAAGCAATGAGTAATGGAGGCAGGATTCAGCCTATGTAGTTGTAGAAATGTAACCAGAATTTGATAAGCTAATGTAGAAACATGTAAAATATATTCTTTTATGGAATTCAAAATCTTGTTCTCTTATGAATGCAGAAGTTTAGAAAGTTAAATGTTGTTAGGAGGCTCACAAATTAAATCTGAAATTGTACATAAGCTGTTACCAAAAACATTCTGCATGTGGTCCAACTATCTGATGTTTTACTCAGAGTTCTTATAAACATGCCTCTTGTTTCCAGATATATTATGTTGTTTAACAGAGCTGTTTTATTCTGTCTTTATTGCCATGCTTCTTTATAGTACAAATCTGAATAGGAACACAACTGAAGGTAATGCCACATGTGCAAAATACGGTACCTCATTGACATTATTTACAACAAATATTACATCACATGTCTGATGTAATAGACATTCAAAGGAAGCTTCAAAGAAGTGTCTACAACTATATTTTCCCATTTATTCATATCACACAGATAATTTTTACTAAACCTGCACAACCCCATAATTAAGTCTTATCACAATTGTAACTAATTTTACATTCTCCATTTGTCTGTCTAAAGGCAAAATAGTTGTTAGCAGACAGTAAACAAAACATGTATAACTAATGTGCTTTTTATTCGATTTAGCAGATAGCAACAATGGTACAAGTGTGAACCAAACAAACTTGAAAGAACATATCTTTTCATCCCCTGAGCAAGCTGCACCTTCTTCAAATTCTACATCTCTGCATAAAAATGCTACTTCCCAGAGTGACACCAGAATTGGCAGTTCTACAGAATCACCTGTACGTGAACATGCAGAAAGCTTTGACTTTGTAAGTGGGATAGCTGAAACAAATCACTCCACAGAATATCAGAAAAGTCACCTTTCCAATGAACCTGTTCATATAAGGCAGGATTCAGTTTTTGATCTTGATACAGAAAAAATACAAGATACAAATTACACAGATGAAAAAAGAGAAGAGGAGACTGGAGGATGTAAAGAGGAGAAGAAAATACCGGCAGGAAGTTGTGTTTCTGGAAAGAAACAGGAGTTTGACAATAATAAATATGATGTCATTATGAGCAGTACTGTAACCACTTTTTCACTGACTGATATATCTTCCACCATCTGTTCTGACATCTACGATTTGCACTCGACTGCAGCTCTGCAAGATAGTGATGTTTCTCGTCTCATAGATGAGGTTTCTTTGACAAATGAGAGCGAGATGAGTAGTTCTGTCTCAGCACTGATTGGACAGTTTGATGTTACAGATGACCGAACTAATCTGACTGTTGTTTCAAGTCTTCATGGCACCAACAACCAAACCTTCAGTGTGGTGTCGGCACATCCACACATGTTTACTGTTGATCTAAGTACACCCCTTAAACAAAACTTTACCAATGTAAAATCTGTTGAATCACCATTATTCTCAACACCAGATACTGCTATGTTCTCCAGCCCTGAGACGACAGAGTATTCTGTGTACACAATTATCCACGAGGCATCTCTTTCACCAGCCTCTGATTGTAAACCAATAGATGAACGAGCTTGCAAGAAGTCAGACTGTGTGGAAAATAGCTTTCCAGTATCCCCTTGCACTTCCCCTCTCCATTTGCTAACAGCAAATCCCAAAAGGAAGTGTGGAACAAATTGGGAAACCCTTGAGGATTGCAGTTCCTACACTTTGGAGGATACAATAGTTGACCCTCCTGCTTGTATAACCTCAGCAGGCAGCAGTCTTATGGAAGTCGATGGGGATTCCCAAGACCTCCTGATAACTGCATATGAATTCAAGAGAGAAGATATGAGCCAACTTGCTGCTGCTTTGAAACTGAAGCATAATCAGGACTCAGTACACTACTGTGAGAGAATCTCTGGGAATAATTTAATCAATGAGGACCCTCACAGTGCTGCTCTGGATAATTCAAATAATTTTAGGACTGCAAGAAATCAAAGTTTTCCTTACCCAGCATTTCAGAGTGTTGGCTTTTTGCATAATAATTATCTGCAAACTTTAGATACACACAATGATTTGTTGTATGTCTCCCAAAGATCCAGACTAAATATGCATTCACCTACACCCAAGAACACTTTGCCCTACCCTCCTACTGCAGCCATCAAACAGCCTAGTCCTTGCAAATCCAAGAGCCTGGGAGACTTGACATCAGAGGATATCTCCTGCAATTTTGAAAGCAAGTACAAATACATAAGTAGAAGCTTTATTACATCTGGCATGAGAGACAAGAAAGTTGCAGCTATGAAAACTAAGAGACCACAATCTACAGACACTCTGACAGAACAATTGCGAAAGCTGGTGTCCTTTGACCAGGAAGACAACTGTCAAACTTTGTATTCTAAGCAGAATGACGATGATTGCCCCAAGGCATTGGTCAGAAAACTGTCATCCAGAAGTCAAAGCAGAGTACGCAATATTGCTAGTCGTGCCAAGGAAAGACAAGAAGCCAACAAGCAAAAACTTTCTAATGCTAGCAGCATAGCAGGGGTAGTTCTAAGAAACAAACCATCAGTATCAGCTCATGTTATCAACAGGCATTCCACTGGCTCTTACATAGCAAGATACCTGAATGACTTCAGTGGGGAGGATCTGGAAGGTCGGGGTGTACCAGAGGGCGCATGTACTTCTTTACGTTATGGATGCAATGACCAGTTTTGTACAGATGATTCCGTTTTGCAGATGGAGCCAAGCAGTGATGATAAACCAGAAATTTATTTCCTTCTGAGACTGTAAATTGTATACATGTACATGTCAGTGTTAACAAACTATTTCATTGAATGAAGGATTTTTAGCAAGAAGTATAGTCCTTGACTTTTAAATTATTTAGAAATGCAATTTTAAGCTAATGATTCAGTCTTGATTTAATGTGCGGTTTCCTGTCAAAGATTATGTAAATAGATTCTGTGATCCTTTCTTATGTATGTATGTATTTTTATTCAGAAATGACAAAGTGAATTATTTGCATGCAATAGATCTGAACCTTCACAGTGTCCTGTATTTGTAATGCACGTAAATTTTAAGAATAGAGTTCTGCACGTCTGTGCACATCAGCAGAGCTCAGCAATTAATGCAATAAATATATTGCTTTTTTCCCTAGACCTTTTAGCTGTTTGCAGAGAGAATTTGAGGAGGCCACCTTTTTGGACCCCATCTTGGAAATGCTACTTAGGATAATGCTTTCTGCCATCAGTAGTCAATGGAACTATTGATGGTGGGCATCAGTATGACCAATAAGTGTTTTCAGGAGTAGACGCTTCATTCATAAAGCTGTTTTCTATCTTAATTGTATTTACATGTTTGTTAATGTTGATTTTAAGCCTTTTCATACATGAACTACAGATTTGTAGCATTAGGATTCATTCAAATTTGCAAGTAACTTGTAGATCGTCTTCCGCTCTTTAAATGAAATAGTATGGTAACTTTTTCTTCCTCTTGTTGAGTGCTTATTTCTGGATGGGAGTGTGGTGAAAAGGAATTTTCTTATACATAGACTTCTTCCAGCATTCCTGTTCACCCTATTCCCACCCTGAAATGAGCATTCAACAAGTGGAAGAAAATCTTGCTTTCCAAATATTTTGTTATGTATTTTTGATATTGGCTGTATATGTAACTTGAATACAGTAGCAGAGATGTTTTCTATGTTTGTAATTATATGCTACATTGTTGATTGTCCGTATAGTAGTTACTGCATACATAACAGGATAAGTAGTTTGGCTTCCATCATCACATGGTTTTGAGAAAAGGGCTTTTTCTGCATTATGTTGAAAACCAAGTGAGTTAATTACAAAAATACACAAAACTTCCCTGAAGGGAGCAAGATAGCTTTATTTTGGGTTTAAGATATACTTTGCTGTCACTGTGAGCACATTTTGCAAAAGACCTTTTCTTTTCTTTTGTAATACAGGATATTATTATTCATGGAGACATCATTACAATAGATTTTTATGCAGCTGGTGCATATTTAGTGATGTTACAGCAAATGCAATTACTATTGAACTTGTGGCAGTCAGTGATTGCAGACATTTGTCTTGTCATGCATTTGCAATAAACCTTTATAAAGGAAAAACCTTCTTATTTCAGATGGTGGCCATAATTCTAACTAGTAATTTACAACTCAAAACATTCTGTTTTCTAAAGGGGAGAAAAGCATCCAATGTTGCTAAACGATTCTGATAGGAAGTCATATTTACTGAGTATTTCTATAATTACCAGTTAGAAATGACAGTGCCATATTTACCATTTTTCTATTCTCTCCCTATAGAAGGTTCTCCTAATCCAATATTTTTCAATGGAATGTCCCTACTTTTTGCGTCAAAATGCCTGTTTGCAGATTTTGAATGTTAGCTGATACAGTGTGTATTTTTAATAGATCTATTTTTTTTGGCTCTCCTGATTGATTTTTTTTTTAACCAGTCACGTGACAAAAATATTTTGTGCTGTATTCCTCAGCTAGAGCAAGTCATATCATAATAATTATTAATGGAGATATCTCATCTCCTAGAACTGGAAGGGACCTTGAAAGGTCATTGAGTCCAGCTCCCTGCCTTCACTAGCAGCACCAAGTACTGATTTTGCCCCAGATCCCTAAATAGCCCCCTAAAGGATTGAACTCACAACCCTGGGTTTAGCAGGCCAATGCTCAAACCACTGAGCTATCCTTCACCCTCCCAAAACATACACACAGGGATAGTAACTATACGGATGGAATCACGTCCAATATAGTCTCCAGCTCTATTAGCTGCTGCTAAATCCCTGTGTTCAGTGACAATATTGGGAGCCCTCCAGTCCCCCTGTCCAGTGCTCTTAGGGTACATTTATACTGCAGGTGGAGCATGCCTCCCTGCCCGGGTAGATAGGGTTGTGCTAGCGGGGCTTGAGCGTGTACACTAAAAATAGCAGCGTGGAGGTTGCGGCTCTGGCGAAGACTCGGGGTACCCATCTGAGCTCAGACCTAGGGCTGGGTGGGCTTGAGAGCCTGAGCTGCTGCCCAGACCACAACTTCCACCCTGCTATATTTAGCATGCTAGCTCGAGCCCTGCTAGCATGAGTCTGTCTGCCTGGGGTAGGATCTAGCTCCCTGATGCAGTGTACATACACTGCTAGTACCCCAGCCCGAAGGTTCCAGGCAGCTGCAATTGCAAGGTGAGTGGGCTAGTGCTGGTTCAGATCATGACTGTCTCTCTTTCAGCTATAAGGCTATCAGGACAGCAGAGCGCTGTGGACCCCCTCTAAGGGCTTGAGCCAAAGCCCATTAAAATCAGTGGGTCTTGGATCAGGCCTGCAACCAGGCTGAAGGTGGCCAAACAAAGGATGAAATGAGTGAAGGACAGGAGCCAGAGAAGTAAGGGGCTAGGGAAGCAAAGGCAGGAAGAGAATGGTAGCTGGGGAATTTGGGAGGGGGCAAGAGGAACAATTCAAGGAATGTAAAACAAATATTGACTGGCTTTCAGTGGAGAGTAGCAGCAATAAAAATGCTTCAAGGCAAAAACCAACATAACAATGGCACATGTTGCCCTTTGATTTTAGGCTCTGCACTATAACCGCAAGAGCTATTCTTTCTCATTGACAATATTTTAGTGCTATTCCCATTGGAGCTAGACAGTGTTTGTGTTGGAGAACCTCTTGAATGTATGCAAGGCATTGTCCAAAAAAATTCGGACTAGGATTATAGAATACTGATTTCAATGAATGCAGGATTTTAATGCAGTTGGATGCCTTCTACCAAGCACTAATATTGCTGTCTGTTCATTCTGATGTTTTACATTTTGTACAGATCCCTCACTCTAGATGAATGCATAATGCATAACGCAACGTCATGTACATTTGTCTCACTTCAGTATTAATTTCCTAGGGAACAAATATGCTATTTCAAAGCATTCATGAATATTATGACTCTGGAACTTGTGCAAAATATGTGAATGAAAAACAGGAAGCCCTTGAATAGTACTTAATTATGCCAACTGCTTCGGAAAAAATTGTTTATTTTGTGAGATTAAGTAGGTCACTTGTTTTGTTTTTCTTTGTCATTGTTTTTTGCATTAAAAACACATGTGGCTATGATTATACAATGTATCAACACCTTTTTATTCTTAGTTTTGTTCTTAACAGTCGGTTTCAGTGTTTACAAATGCAGCAAGGGCAGGAATCTTGCACTAGCCAAGTGATTGATATATGTGACTTCGAATCAGCTATCCTAACTGCAGAATTGTTCTTTAGTTATGCTCACTTGGATAAGGGGAAATGTTAACAGGCTTCTTTCTAACTATGGAATGCTTTTACTAATGGAGTTGAAATCATACACTGGGATCTGAATCCCCTGGAACTTTGGATCCAGATCCAGAGATTGGGCCTATCCCAGTAAGAGAGATCCCTTTTGGATTGACTGATCCAAACTTCCTAACTTTGGGGAGGTTCAGAAACAGATCAAAACTCTAAGCCTTTTGCCCATCTCTAGTCTACCAGTAGATGCTAACCCTGGTACTATTTGCGGGCCCAACAATTCCCTCTGGACTACGTGCAGAGCAAGGTGTTACTCAGCAAAAGTAAAGGTGGCAGAATCTGACTTGGTGCCTCCTGAGAAATAGTTTCAGCTTTCAAGTCACACTAACTGTGTGGCTTAAGCAACAATATTGACCATTGAAGTGACCATTGACTGAGTGATAGGGTGAACAAGTGGTGTGACTGCTCTGTCATATTGGGTATCCTTTGTCATTGTGTGTCACAAACACTCACCAAACTATTTCCTGTCCTCATTAGTAGGACCTGAAAACTCTTTCTGTATAGCTCATTCGGGGGACATATAGGGAGAAGAGACTTATGGGGGTACAGTCCTTCAGTTATGTTAACGTGTGATAATTGCAGCTCAATTTAGGTAATAAACCAGATGCCTATTGGTAAAACATATGCAGTGTAGACTCAGGCCAAGCTCCTTGTTTCAATGTATTTTCTGTTTATGTGGAATATCACTGAGAAATGCAATATGAAACTCTGTTACAGAGCCTCCATTTTGATAACAAAATAGTTCTGTATGCCAGAATCCATAAGTGCCTGAATGCTTTTTGCCCTTAAATGCTTTGTGCCTTCAGAGGTCTTGTCACAATATGTAGGGCAGGTGAGGGGGAAAGAAGTACACACATCCACTGTCATAAATCCCTGTTCTTGAATAATGTTTGGTGTTGTGTGGGTCTGGGAGGTGGGAGCTGACAAGAAAGACTGTTTTAGGTCTATTTGACTAAGCAGTGCCCTACGAGAGAGAGGTTTTTAGGTCAATAAAGCCTTCAGTCTGGAAAGATGGTGCTTTCAGAAATTGATTGAAATAGATTTGCTGCTTGAAAGCGAAATACATTCATAGACCTACAAATCCGGGACAAAGCTATTCTCCTCAAACGGGATTTGCAAGCCCCATGGCCTGACACACCTCAGCTTGTCTGACTGTACAATACTGCACAGCCAGCTGTCCTAGAGGGCCTAATACAGACGTTTGTTACTTCCTCAGGCATTTTTAAGAATGGAAGCAAGTCTTTACATACTTAGAATTAGAGAGGGGTCTGAACCAAAATCCCAGATCAGACCCTTTAGTGGATAGTGCCTTTCCTCAAAAAATTATGGAAGAAAAATAGGTCTATAATAAGGGTAAATACTGTATATGATAAGAAAACAGTATTAATTATTAGTGTCTGAAACCAATTCAATATTTTATTATTATGACAAACACCCCCCTTTGTTAGGCTCAGTCCTTCTGACGGTTGCTGAGTCCCATCTGATTCCTTTTAATTCAGGAGGAACTGAGGGAGCTAAGCCTCTGGAAGGAGGTCCTCAATGTCCAGCAAGGTTGGGCCCTTAATGAAGTTGTTATGTTTGTGGATAATGGAGGTAAAGGGCATTTCCAAAGGCCTTCCTGCATTCTCGTCCTCTGCTACTTCAAACCCTTCATTGACATAGACCATGATCCGGCAAAGCACTTAACCACGTGTTGAACTTCAAGCATGTGTCTAGTCTAACAGAAATCAGTTTGACTACTTACATGCTTAAAGTTAAACGTGGATAAATGCATTGCAGGATTGGGAGCCTTTCTGTAAGTGTCAGACAAAGATGCTTGAAATCTCAGATTAAACTTCCATTCCCTTTCCATTGTATAATCTATTTGCATAAATGATGATTTCCCCATTGATCAGCATTATGCATAATGGTTGTGAATGATGAGCTTTTAAATAGCAAGGATCTAAGGCAACGACAAAAGATGGAAGTGAAAGCTAAAGGAAATGCGTGTGGTGACGGACAGTATTTCTTCTGTGTGCTAAATGAGAGTTTAAGATACAGTAGTATGTGTGTTGAATAAGTGTCATCATACAGGAAAGTCAGTTGATAAACTGAGATAATCCTTTATTTTTAAAGATGTATTGCAATAGAGTAGTTTTTATGTTGGGTTCTATTCTAATTTTTAAACAATTTTACAGATGTCTAGAAATACCCACTATATATATATATGCTTTTGTAATTTGTTCATTTAACTGAGTCAGCTTCGTGTTTTCCCACAAAAAGGAATGCAAGTTATTGAGGAGCATTAGATTTTGGTGATGTAAACTACAATTACTGTAAAATATCAGGCTGTCTTGCCAACAGCAACGTTGCCTTCTTATTTAGAGGTATTAGGCCAAATTTATCCCTACTGTAACTCGATGGAGCTCCTCAGTGGAGTTCGCAAGGGATGGATTAAGCTCATGATGTGTAAGCTTTTCATCAGTTTGGACATCTTATCTCTTAAGTACTGACCATTGTTTGTTCTCTTTGCTATGAAATCCTGACTCCAGCATCCAAAACTTGAATCCACAGACGATGGTATATTTATATTGTATTTTATGTTTGCTCCTCCTTACCTTGCTGTATCTACACTATGCTATTTGTTATGTTATGTAATGTAAGGGCCGGATCATCAGCTAGTGTAAATTGATGTAGCTCCAGTTACTTCAGTGAATTACAGCAGTTTAGGATCTGGCTCTAAATTGCACACATCTTAGTCCTTAAACTCGAAAGTAAATGTTGCAGTGTTAGCAATTGACTTAATGCAAATTTAAATAGATAGAACTGCATCCTGCCCTCCTCTAGTAAACACTGCAGTACATATGAATATTGCCCATTTAGCCTGCATTTAACTTCAAAAAGGGCAACTACACAAAAACGAGGAATCTAATTAAACAGAAATAAAAAGGAACAGTCACAAGAGTGAAATGCCTGCAAGTTGCATGGAAACTATTTAAAAATACTATAACAGAGGCTCAAAACAAATAAAAAAAGCAGTAAGTGGACCAAAAAATCCATGGATAACCAACAGAGTAAAAGAAGTGATTAGAGGCAAAAAGGCATTCTGTAAAAATGGGAAGCCAAATTCTACTGAAGGAAATAGAAAGGAGCATAAACTCTGGCAAGTCAAATATAAAAGTATAATGAGTCAGGCCAAAAAAGAATTTGAAGACCAACTAGAAAAAGACACAAACTAAAAGCAAACATTTTTTTTTAAATACATCAGAAGCAGGAAGCCTGCCAAACAATCAATGAGGCCACTAGATGATCAAGGTGCTAAAGGAGCATTCGGGGATTACAAGGCTGTTGCAGAGAAACTAAGTTAATTCTTTGCATTAATCTTCATTGCCGAGAATGTGAGGGAGATTCCCTCACCTGAGCCATTCTTTTTAGGTGACAAATCTGAGGAACTGTCCCAGATTGAGATGTCAGTAGAGGAGGTTTTGGAACAAATTGATAAGTTAAACACTAAGATGTCAGATGGACCAGATGGTATTCACCCAGGAGTTCTGAAAGAACTCGAATATGAAATTGCAGAACTATAAAGTGTGGCATGTAACTATCACTTAAATCAGACTCCGTACTAGATGTCTGGAAGATAACTAATGCTGATATTTTTAAAAAGGTTCCAGAGGCAATTGTGGCAATTAGAGGCTGGTAAGCCTAACTTTAGTGCCACGTAAAGTGGTTGAAACTATAAAGTAAAGAACAAAATTATCATATAAATAAACAAACAGGATATGCTGGGAAAGAGTCAGCACAGCTTTTGTAAAGGAAAATCATGCCTCACCAATCTATTAGAATTATGTGAGGGGGTCAACAAGCATGTGGACAAGGATGTTCCAGTGGATATAGTGTATTTGGATTTTCAGAAAGCCTTTGACAAGATTCCACCCCAAAAGCTCTTAAGAAAAGTAAGCTGTCATGGATAAGAGGCAAGGTCCTCTTTTGGATCAGTGATTGGTTAAGGAAACAAAAGGTAGGAGTAAATGGTCAGTTTTTTCAGTGTAGAGAGGTAAATAGCAAGATCCTCCAAGGATCTATACTGGGACCAGTGCTGTTCAACATATTCATAAATGATCTGGAAAAGGGGTTAAACAGTGAGGTGGCAAAGTTTGCAGTTGATACAAAATTGCTTAAAATACTTAAGTCCAAAGCTGACTGTGAAGAGTTACAAAGGGATCTCACAAAACCGAGTGACTGGACAACAAAATCACAGATGAAATTCAGTGTTGATAGTGTAAAGTAATGCACATTGGAAAACGTAATCCGAACTATACATACAAAATGATGGGGTCTAAATTTGCTGCTTTCACTCCAGAAAGAGATCTTGGAGTCATTGTGGATAGGTCTCTGAAAACATCTACTCAACGTGCAGCAGCAGTCAAAAAAACTAACAATGTTCGGAACCATTAGAAAAGGAATAGATAATAAAACAGAAAATATCATAAGGCCAGTATATAAATCCATGGTATAGCCACACCTTGAATACTGTGTGCATTTCTGGTCACCCCATCTTTAAAAAGATATATTAGAACTGGAAAAAGTACAGAAAAGGCAACAAAATTGATTAGGGTATGGAACAATTCTCATCTGAGGAGAGATCAAAATGAGACAACTAAGGGAGGATATGACAAAGATCGGTAAAGCCATGAATGGTGTGGAGACAGTGAATAAGGAAGTGTTATTTACCCCTTCACTTAACACAAAACCCAGGGGCCACCCAATAATATTAATAGGCAGCAGGTTTAAAACAAACATAA